TGTATATGCATTATATTCATTACGAAATTCCGCGAATAGGGACTGGACGTTTGACGCTTACGTTTACTGGGACGGTACGTTTTTATGCGTAAATAGAAACCGAATCGTTGCAAGGGTGTCCAGCCAGAACAGGCGTAGTGGAAGCGAGGGAAGCGTGTGAATGTGTGGCAGTTGAAATAGGCGTTATGCTTGTATTACGCGGGCACTGATTGTGGGGTGCGTTGTGAAGTGGGTGCTGTTAGTGTTTTGAAAGTGGGCTGGGTGGGTCTGGCAGCGGCCCGCGCGTAGAATCTCAGAAGTTATTGCTTGCGTCAGTGTATGAGTGGTGGCATGTGTGCATCCGCCAGTATGCTGGACACCGGGGAGGTACGGAGGGCGCCTGTAGCCACGCGGAGAGCGGCGTTCTGGATAGTTTCCAGGGTCTTAATTTTGCTCGAAGAAATGCCATCAAATATAAAGGCACTGAAGTCCAAGATCGGCCGAATCAAGGCGGCATACAGACGGAGCATGGTGCGCCTATCGGCTCCCCACTCTCGTCCGGCGAGACATTTTAGGATATTAAGTCGTTGGGTGCAGCGCTGTTTTAGGTCGGCAAAATGGGGCGAGAAGGTAAGTCGGCTATCCAGGGTGATCCCGAGATACTTGAACTGGGTGACGAGTGGGATGGGTTGACCATGCAGGTTCAAAGGGGCTCGAGGCGCAAAGATTACGCGCCGCCTAGAAAAAGTAAGTGCTGCTGATTTAAGCGGTGAAATCTCAAGACCCCACCGGTCACACCATTGGTGGATGTGATTTAGAGCAAGTTGTACAAAGCGATTTGCTCGATCGACACTGGGGTGGGTAAACCATGCCGCCAGGTCGTCGGCGAAAAGAGAATAGTTCAGATGTGGTGAAATTTCATGAAAATCATTAAAAACGTCGTTGATCATAATTAAAAAGAGCGTCGGCGAGGCCACGCTGCCTTGGGGAAGTGCATGGTCCTGTTCCGCAGGCGCTGACAGCGTGTTCCCGCAGCGAACGGCGAAGGTTCGATCTGCTAAGAAATTTTGCAAAAATTTGGCGAGTCGACCACGAACTCCCATTCTGTGCAGTTTAATCAGGAGGGCAGTCTTATTGACTTTATCAAATGCGGCCTTAAGATCTAAAAATAGTGTAACCGCAACCATTTTTTGTTGGAAACCACGTTGGACTGAGTCAACAAGTTGGACGAGGTTGTCCGCCTTGGAGCGGCCAGGGCGGAAGCGCCGTTTTGGTAAGGGCAAGTAAGATTGTGGGGCTCTAAGTAGGCCCTGATTCGAGCGGTGACCATTCTTCAAATAATTTCGATGCACAGCTTGACAGAGAAATAGGGCGATAGCTTGAAGGATCAGACGGAGGCTTGCGAGGTTTTAGTATCGGGATAAGGGTGCTAGAGCGCCAAGTGTCAGGGAACTTTTCATTAATCCAAATATCGTTAAAGGCAGAGAGGAGATTTAGCAGTCCAAACTCAAACAGATTTCTGAAAAAAGCATAAGCGATCTGGTCTGGATCGACCGAGGTGTTTTCGCACTTGCTGAGGGCCAGCCTCAGTTCGTACAGCATGAAGAGTGCGTTACAGTGTGCGGTGTTGTCAGTAGTAAAGTCGAGTGCATGGAGTGTGATGTTGAGCGAATTCTTGAGCTGTTGGGAGTATTGATCGGACGATGAAACGCGGGCGTAGTGTAGTGTAAACTGTGTGGCGACCTCAAGTGGCGCATGATAGTGCTGGCTGTTGACTATGAGGTATGAGATTTTGTAGTGATATGTGCGTTTATTGGTGAAGCTCCGCATTAGTGACCATATTTTTGACAGAGGGGTGTATCGGTTAAACGTGGTAGCGAAATTTTCCCAGCTTTCCTTTTTGTCTGTTTTATTATTACGTTAGCTTGGTGTCGAGCCCTGCGAGCTTCCTCCTCGTGGGCTGTGCAAATACAATTGCGAAAAGCACGCATGGCCCGGCGTCGCAGGGCCACTGCGCGCTGACACTCGTCGTTCCACCAGGGCGCGTGTTTGGCCCCGGGTCGACAATGAGTGTGTGGAACGGACTGGTGTGCAGAGGCCAAAAGACTGTTCAAAAAATCAATAAGATTAGGGGTCGATTCAGGGGGGGGGGTGAGCCTCGTCTATATAGTTTTGAAATGTGGTCCAGTCCGCTTTGCGGAGGTTCCATCGAGGGAGGAAGTGGAAATCTACCTGTCCTGAGCGGACTTTTAATTCAAGGTGAATTGGATAATGGTCACTGAACAGCGGATCTGTTTGTACGTTGTGAGTGAAGTGTGACGCGATGCGTGGTGCTGAGAGAGCCAGGTCAATCACAGAGAAGCCGGCGGCTGTCCCTCGGTGTTGTATGTGTGTAGGTGTTTGACTGTTGGGGCATATGAGGTCATGAGTATGCAGTGGTGTGTGGAGCATGGTGACGCGTGTCTGTATTGATTGACACCCCCACGCTCGGTGGTGGGCGTTAAAATCGCCCAAGATTAGGCAAGGGGAGGAGATTTGAGAGGAGAGTTCGGGTAGCTGGGAGGCGGGGAGAGGGTTATTTGGGGATAGATAAAGAGAGACGAGAGTGAGGTCAAGTTGTGCGATTTTTACGTTAATTGCTGTAAGATTCAGATTAGTATTAAAGTGTACTCGATGGTGCAGTAGATGGCTGGACACATACAGCGCCCTGCCGCCACGGCGAGGTGTGTCTTTTACGTTATCGGTATAGAGACAATAATTTCGAATATTAAAGTTATAGTTCGTAGAATCAGAATAATTAAAAAAGGTCTCTTGAACAGCGGCAATCATTGGTTTATGTTTGATGATATATTTCTTTTTTGAATTCGCTCCAATGGGCTACTAGGGACCTGGTATTCCATTGGAGAACGAATTCATTAAATGGGGAGTTCATTCATGGGGAGGGGAGCGAGGCCGTCTTGCTGCCCGTGCAGCGGGGCGGAAGCGCGTTTGGGCATGGCCAGCGCGGGTCCTTTTGGAGGGGGCGGGGGAGAGGGAGGGCGGGCGGGGCGGGTCCTCTCTCAGGGGATGGGGAGGTAGTCCGACTCGACCCTGACGGTTCTGCCCCCAGACTGGTCCGGGGGGAACCAGTCGTCAATGACCCCGGTTCCGACACGGCTCTCGGGCGCGCACAGCGTGAGCCGCTGAACGGCCGTGAGGTCTGAGGTGGCGTCAACGGTGTCTCGGTTCTGGCCTGAGGGGCAGGGAGACGAGCCTCAGGGGGCGGAAGCAGGGGGTGGTGGCCCGGGGACCGGACCTCAGGGGCCGGGGACCAGGCCTGGCGGGCCAGGGTGCGGGCCATGGGATTGCCCCTCAAATGGTGCTCGTTGGGCGGGGCCACACGTCCGCTGTCCACTCCGCCCCGGACGGCTGGGGTGGGTCGGGCGTGCGCATCCGCCGGCGTGGGCCAGGCCCCAGTCTCCAGGGAGGGAGCGCGAGGAGGGAGGAGCGGGGAGGGAGCGTTGTTCTTTTGTTTTAGCCCGAGTTTGGCCCGGATCTCCCGCCAGGCCGGGCTGGCCCGACGGTCTGATGCCGGGTGGGGGCCAGTACGGGACGCTCAGCGCGGCTCCTGGGCGTCGCACTGGCGAGCCGAATGACGGCCCGCACATACCCCGCACTTCGGGTGGCGGGCGCGGCAAGTGCGCGCGCTGTGGCCGAAGGCCTGGCAGTGCGCGCACTGCTGCGGGGCGGGGATCCACGGGCGCAGGGACGCACGCATATAACCACACAAGAGGTACGGCGGAAGGGCCGTACCCCGGGAGCGCAATGGGAGCAAGGGGTTAGGTCACAGCTCCGGACGGCGCGACGGCAGGTGCACCACCTCGGTGACACCCTGAGCGAGACACTCGCCGAGAATGTCCTCTTCGGACATCTCGGAGAGGGCCGGGGCGTACACGACCGCCTGCACAGTGTTCAGGCAGTCTGAACAGTGTTCAGTGAACACTGCCTTAACAGTGTTCAGGCGGTCTGCCATGACCACCGCCACGTCACGGACTAGAAATCGGCTGAGTTTTAGTAGTACGTGCGCCTGATGGGCGCCGTGAACTTTAATAAGGAGGGCCCCCGAATGAAGGGGTTTGGCCTCCTCAACCTCTCCCACATTGTGCTCAATTTCGCGGCGGATGGCAAAAGGGTTCAGGGATGCAAAACTTTTGTCGTCCCTTTTTTATAAGAATGAGCGATGGCCCGTCCGGCGGCGCGGGCGACGGGGGAGCTCGGGCCCAACGGCGGGGGGTGGGTCCCTGTTCGCGGCGAGATGGGGATGGGGACTCGGGCGGCATGCTTCGTGTTTTGGTGCTTTTGCTCGTGTTTTTGCTACAAGTGAGCGCTTAAGGCGATAGAGTGTGGGCTTAAGGCCAGGCAGTGTTGTTTAAGGCTGCGTATGTAGCTTACGTGTTCGAGGAAACGGCGAGACGAAACCGGAAAAAGCGATCGACGACACGACAACGAAGACGAAACCCTTCAGCTGACGACGTAACCCTTCCCCTCCCCCCCCCCCCCCCTGTTAGGCGTTAGACGTAAGAGGTTTAAGGCACAGCTCGCGGGAGGACCAACTGCGAGCGCCAAACGCTACCGTCCTCTGCGCATGCGCTAAATATGTCGGGTAGTGGTTGCATACGATTGCGGTTGCTGGATTGAGATATGGCTGTTCCAAAACTGCCATAAGCCGAAATATGACACCACTTTGGGATTTGGCAATCCGGGTCTGCCACATCGCACTGTGACCGCTTGAGACGGCCGGTTTCTGTTTCGGAGTTGGGCTGCATGAATATATGTCTCTCCGTCTAGGGAGCTTTTCCTCAAATCATAGGAACCAAGCCTTAGCAAAGTGCAAGTAAGTTCTTCGTTTGTTTCTGTCGGGATGAGTTCGAGAAAGGAGTAATTGGCACCCATGGTGTTTGGCAGGTTCAAGTGGTCCGTGCCCTCCTCACCATACTCTCATGTTTTGCAGTGTGTCGCGGTGTTTGCTGAAAGATCAACTGTTGAACGGCGGCACATACTTTTATTTCGTAATCTGTTTCTCTCGGGCTCATGGGTTTCAACAAGACACTATTCCGGTCGGGGGACCTGCCTCGGGCGCGCGAGGCCACAGACGTTCGCACCGGATAAGTAGGCTATATTCCAACCGCGCCGAGCGGAGTGGCCCGCGGAGGCCGGTCCACCGTCACAATAGGCAGGTCGTCGGGTCGCGGGAGCTGAGATCAGAGCACCGGCAGCGGGCGCGGAGAGTTCCGACGGTGGTGGCGATGGTTCGGGGGCGGGGATTACTTCCTTGCCTCCGAGGCGCGCGCGGAGAGGAGGCGGATCAGACCGCCCGCCGGAGGCGCCGGCTCCGGCTGGCCGTCGACGCTGTAGTACTCGTAGCCGCCGCCGAGCGTCGCGTCGGGCGCGGCCGGCACCGAGCGTCGCTTGAGGAAGCGCGACACCGTGGAGGGGTTGTAGCAGTCGGGCCCGTCGTTGCCGGCCAGGCACGCCTCTGCGCAGGCCGTGCCCTGGAAGAAGCGGCCGTACATGTTCTTGCACTGGCCGCAGTTGCTGGAAAGGAGGCCACCGTCAGTGGACGACGAAACAGCGGCCGACGCCCCGTCTCCAGGGCATGACGCGGCCTCCAGAAATACGATACCACATCGGCTTCCAGCGCTGGCGTCGGTGGTCTCCCAGGGGCCCTTCTCTTCGAGCTGAGGAAATGCAATTCGCACGGCAGCGATTGTTCAGGCCTTACCCTGAGCGAGCAGTGCGCTTTTTGTCGCACTTGAAACGCTCAGGGTCCTGTCGCGGATGCTGGTTGATAACAGTTTTTCTGATCGACATGTAGTTGCCCTCGTGCAGCGACATGGCCACCATCAGATAAACAAGGCCCACCAGGCACCCAGCGCAGTATTGCAACTAACATGACCCGAAGGCAACAAGGTCTGGAGATAGCTGGAACTGGCTGTCAGAGGACGGTACTCCCTCTCACTCTGCACCATGGGGCTTACTCCACTTGAAGCCCGGCAATACTGCAGGCGGCGCTGACTGGCCGGGGCTTCGGCAGAACCAGAATCAGGGGTGTTGCTGTCAGCCAGCTCACAACTGACAAGCACAGGCGGCGGTGCATCGCAAGTATGCAGGAAACTTACCACAGCGATGGCAGAGACACCGCCAGTCATGCGTCGATTACACGTGCGAACATTTTCAAGGCACTCTGAAAAAGTTGCTTGGTCGCCTTTTACTATCTGGCTTACGGTGGTGTGCGCTGGATGGAAGACGCTCCTGTGCAAAGGTCAGGTTTAATACAAGCTCTGCTAGTTCAGTGTAGTGATGGCGACCAGCCGCTAGCCAAGTGCTGTGTCGTGAGGAAAAGCAGGTAAATCTTGTCCGATTGGCAATGCGTCTGAGTCATGACCCCACTCGCCAGGCTTGATAGATTTGTACGTATGATCAATGTTTAGTGGGTCATGTTGCCCTCTCAGAGAAGCGGTCTCTTCTTTATCAAAAATGCGTAACTTTTAGCATAACCAGCTCGTTGACATATCATTTGTATGCAGCTCGTAACACGATAAGCATGTTACAACGCAATCGTTTTGAAACGTATGGTGAAGGCGCCCCAGCCATAGCAACCGCATTTGATCTTACGTCACAGACGAGTGTAAACACCACTAATATAATCGGTGTTTTCATCGAACATTTAATTGTCTACGCATTCTCGGGATTTCATTAAGCGCGTTTCGTTCCACTTTTGATTGCAAATTGCCGGTCGCGACGTTTACAAAAGAGATTGGGTGGGCTTGCGACTCGTGCAGTCTGTTGGCTTGGCTGATGCGAACAGATAACGCTCCCGCTGTTTTTCAGAAATTGCTCCAAATGTTCCGCAGACACTCTTTGTGACTGTGAGCTGGCTGATAGTAGCTTGTTGTGAAGACACTGCAGTCTTCACTGCAGGAGAGCCAGTTCAGCAGATGATTTCCACTGAGCGATTTTAACATGTGATTCAGCTGCAGCCCGACTCTTCACACCAGTCGTCAGTTTACCTTCGCAGACGAATCACATAAGCGCAGTTTCTAGGGCGTGAACCTGCACGTGCCTCCGACAGAGTCGACAGATGTCCCGCACTGTAATAACTGAACTACCGAGGCAGTAAAGTTCAGTCGTGCAGATATCCAGCTATTCTCGTTCAAGTCCAGAATAAAGCTTCCGGCGTAATTCTGTTAGGGAGTGCGCTCAGATTCAATGCTAACATCCGCTCGCTGTTGACAATAAGCGAACTTTGCCGTGCTTTGTGAGATGCTGAACTTGAGAGACACCTCGGCACTCATGTTCTATATAGTTAACGAATCGCGTGCCTCTAGTTGCCAAACATACCATGTGTTGCTAATCGCAACAAAATGGCCACTGACGCCCATCTGGACACTAGCCTGTCGTCATACGTCCTCAGCGCCAGCGGCATCAGCGCCCTCAGCTGACGCTGACGCCGCTAACCCAGCGACAGCTGACGCCGCTGCGTGGATGGACTCACCGGACGCAGGAGCTGATGTTGGCGTCGGCCTGGCCGGCCAGCAGCAAGCAGACTGGCAGACAGCACAGCAGTAGGACCTCAGGCTGCGAAACAGACCCGCTGGTGAGGGGCGGGCACAGCAGCGACGCCGGCGCGGCCAACTACGGCGGTGCTGAGAGCACGCACGCACTGGGAAGCTTCCAGGGGCGCGGCTGGACTTATTACGAACACCGCCGACTGGAAATGTCAGCGGTTTTCAGAATATTTCGTCCTCTATTGGGATGGGTGAAGGATGCCGAGTAAATTTGCCAACAGAGCTCATTGGCAGGAGGCTAGCCTGTTTGAACGTATGGTCAAATCTTGTATTCTATCTCCATATCCATATCGAATCTGCATATATGTTGCAACGGTGAACTATGTGACTTTACTGCTTCTGCAGCAATGCGGTAGTAGTTGAGCGTCTAAGCTGCCGTGCCTCAGGCTACGTGTGAGTGTTGCACAGAAAGAGATCCTGCCGTTAGAACATTGTGGTAAGTCGTGGAGGAATGCGTTTCTATTTAGATTGTCCAGTTACCAATGGTCTCCTCTCCCTGAATGGCTGTAGCTATGCTGTTGTTGGTCGGAAAGAAACCATCATGCAAGTGCCACGCTATTCTGTGCCCAAATTTCAGCTCTCAGAACTTGCAAAGCCTAGGTTATAGGACATTTATTACCCTAGGTTACATCTAGGTCGGGCCACTGCATTTTTCAGCGCCAATTATCTTTTACTACCTAAGACGCGCGTGTTTTGACACCCCCGACTACTTCCGCCTTCCAAGATTCGTCCCTGCACAAGGCGGCATCAAGCCGCCCGGCCGGCGTCTGCCGCCAACGCCATCGGCGGCCGCCTCATCGATGCCCACCGACGCAGCTGTCGGTGCCGTCGCCACCAATACGGACGGTCCAGCGGCGGCGCGCCGCGCTCGCCGCCGAACGCCGTGGCGGCCCCGCTGGCGGCGCGCGTGGATCGACAGGCCTCGCCGCCACCGTCGCGGCACGGCACCCTAATGTGGCCGGTCGGGCATAATCCGAGGTCGGCGAGCGCCCAGCGGTGGCAATCTAACGACGGCGGGCGCCGTGGCCTGGCCGAGCTGTTTGTTTGGCGCGTCATGGCGGGGCGCCGGGGCGTAGCGGATAGAGCAGGAGGGGGAGGCGCACGGGGTGGGACCGGGCGAGGCGGCGGGTACCCGTCAACGCTGGTCTGAGATGAGGAAAATTTTTTTGCGGTCATGTCCACTGGTTCTCAAAGTGAGCAGTCGAGTCAAACTGGTCCTCAAAGTACAGTCCAGCGGGTACAGTCGACAGCCGGTCCGCACTGCCGCCAGTCCTCAGCAGTCCTGCAGGGAACTGGCGGGTGCAGCCGATGGCCGGTCCGCACTGCCGCCAGTCCTCAGCAGTCCTGCAGGGGACTGGCGGGTGCAGCCGACGGCCGGTCCGCACTGCCGCCAGTCCTCAGCAGTCCTGCAGAGGACGGGGCAGGGGACGGGCGGTCTCAGCAGCCGCGCTCACTCGACTGTCACTGGTGATGGAATAGGACCGGACAGTGCCGACACACCACGGGGACTCCTACTACCAGCGGTGGGTGAAGATCGTGCGTATAGCACGCCAGGATACTTGCTCATCTTCACGAACGGTTGCGCTGCGACAGATTGCGGCGACGTTACGTTCACTCAGCTGTTGCACGTCAGCTGTTGCAGACCAGCGGGCAAGGGCTGAGAGCGTTCGGGCACTCGGCGACCGCAAGCCGAGAATCAGGAAAACCAGAAAAATCAGGAACCAGAAAAAGACGGTCCGGTTCCACTACACCAAACCGCTATTGCAAGGGTTCCTGTGACGTGAGCAAAACCCTCATGCACGACCGTTGTGTTCTGCTCCTCATTTCACACACAGGGTCAGCATACAGCTGGGCGGAGCGAGCGGTTCCCAGGGACTCCCGTGCTCAGCCTCGGGCGATGCACCTGCCGCCATCCCACTGACCTTATCCTGCGCGCACGCGGTATCCTATACCCCTGGGACGAGAGTACCAGCTGCGCTGCCGCCTCCCGGGGCGTGGAGCTGAGCCAAAACTGGACACTGGCACACCCGTTGGCAGTTGAGCTCGTCCGCCTAAGCTGACGGCAAAGCGTCCCCAGCGTCCGCGAGAACTGCGCTGACGCCTGCCGTGTGCCTCCGAGAGCCGTCGTGACTGTATCGAGTTGTTATCTAGCGACTCACAGCCAGGCAGCCCACTGTCTTCAAGCACCGCGAGCGACGAGCATTAATGCAGTTATCTGCAGTTGTCTACAAAACTTCTTTGGAAAGTTACGCTGTTCCATTCTTGAACTTGAAGTGAACGTCTCCGCGCCTGTCTGCTGAGCTAAGCGGTTCAACTGAGTAATCTGTCCGGTGGGGGCATATCGGCCAGCCAGAACAGGCTGGTGTGCTTCTCTGCAGTAACAGAACTGGCACGCGTGCCACCGAATCAAACATTGGCCACGGTTATGCCGAAGTCGTGCCTCTGGGGGCATTTGCCGAAAAATCACATGCTTGGCACATTGTAGCGTTAGACGTTGTGAGCACTCGAAATATGCCTGCAACCTGACTGACTGATCATTGCGCCTAAGACATTTTAACGAATGCATTGCCAACAAAGCATAATTACCTCTGCAACACGTGACGAGCGCCCGTCATGACAATCGTTTGAACGTGAACATGCATGAAGCAAACTACAAGGCCGCATGTCTGCGATTACACTCACTCATCACTGTCACGTCATCGTGCACCGCTATTTGCAGTCACTTACTGGCTGTATTGTACCTTAGTTTAGACGCACAAGGTCTTAAACTGTGCTCGACGCTTTGCTAAGCCACGACGTTTCAGATGAGAACAACTGGTTGTCATTTATTCACCAACGAATGGCCGGCCGGTGGTGGATTGGACTGGTTTTAAACCAAACAGACAAGCCGTTGCTTTAACAAATATTGTATGAAAATACATGGCGGTGAAAATCGCATTGCAAGGAATGATTTTATCTGTTGGCTCCATAGGCAGCGGTGGAATGGTAATTGCGTAGCTTTTACAGCATGCAGTGTAGAGTGGCGCTGCATATTATTCGCCCCAATATTTACCGCCAGTGGAGGAAACTCGGCTAGGGCGTGAAGTTATTCAGATATTGTTGATCGATTGCAAGAAAGCTTGCTTACGGGAGGAGCGACAGCTTTCGGGGTTCAATTTAACTGTACGCGCATGTAACCAGCTCGAGCGCAATGCTCTAGCTGGAACCTGAGATTGTTCCCAGATTGAGGGTCTTTGGGTGACTCGAGAGGGTCTCTTTCGTGACATCGTCTCATCTAACTGCTTGCTCGGCGCCAGCCAGTGCCATCTTCCCAACAATGCTTGCATCCCACCTGTCACCAAAGTTTTTTGGGTAAATTTGTTCGGTAAATTTTGTGATTTAACTGGTTCGCCACAGATTCCATTACGGCCTACAATGCCATGTTTAGGCAAGATCGCGCTGTTAGATATGCCAGTTCCGAATGTCGTGATCGAAGCCAAGATAGATAGCTCCCTCATGCCTACGTCAAGTAGAATGTCAGCCGAGCCAGGAAATGTAAGATATGATATCGATGGTTGCTAGGAGCGACTCCCTTGACAGCGGCGCTGACTGTGGGTAACTTGCCGGCCGTTCGAACTGCATTGGCGACACATATGGTCCCTATCACACTCGAAGTGATATCGCGCTGTTTACGGCTTTGATAGCGTTTTGTACGCATGCGTTGCAGCGTATACTTGTGATAGCTTTAATGATGGCACATCTTCTTAATCACGTCCTCGTTGCCTCAAACTATTCCGCCCCAATTCGGCGTTTAGGCTGCTTATTGCATGCCCAGCCCAGTAAAGCTGATGTGGAACTTTCTTCCCCTCCTTTGCGCTTACCATTTCAGGCCATCTCAACCCCATCCCACTTCGCCATTTTGTTTTTTAGCGCCATAGAGCGAGAGTGACTGAGAGTTGGCCACAAGAAACAGAACATCAACACAAACCAGCAAGATGTTTTTTTGCGCCGTTGGACCAGCGAAAATGACGACAAACGTAAGCGTCAGCATCATGCAGATATGGTAGGACATCAGCGATTGGAGCCCGTCTCCCCAGGAGCCCATACACCTGTTTTTTAGATGCATTGGAGTAAACTTCTCCCACGAGTTTAGCGGATACGAAGCTGCAGCGTCGCTTGGCTTTCCTGCACACGTCCATGAGTCACGTCGCTGGAACATTGGTTGCCTTGGGCCTGGCGGGGCCTAGCAATCTTAATCGACCACTTTGAAATGTCTTGTGTTTTTGGCCATTGTGACCAAAGTGGCGCTTGAAATACAAATGTTCGGGGGAGTATTGGTCATAACACATTAGGCCACGCAGCTTTGCTGCTGTCGTGTCCCACCCTCTTTCGGTTAGGCCACAGCATTTTGTGTTCGAGGCTGCTTTAATAGAGTATGCTATCGGCCGCTTCCCCGTCTATCAAAGACGTAACCACGGATAGGCCAGCATTGCATTATCTAGTGATTTTTGGGACAGTGCATTCGCCTACACTGTGATTTAGGCTTCAGGCCAATATCCCGTCTAGTTGCCAAGAGCTGAGAGGGAATTGTTCCGTCTGTTGCTGAAAAACTGCAAGACCGTACGATCGTTGCAAAGGTAAACGCGGTCTAAAGCGGGAATGGCTGGGCCAGGCCAGGCCAGGCCAGGCCTGGGGCTACAAAATGTCCGGTTAGTTGACGTTAAACCTCGCTTGGCCTGCGGCATCGTTCGCAGCGCGGAGTTGATGACGTCACTGGAATAAGTAGCCCTATGGCCGCTGAAGGGATGACAGGAGCCCGTTGTCAGCACACAAGTTATCAAACTGCCTGTGTATCCGTCGTACATGTCATGACTATCTCCAATCAAGCATTGTATGAGGCTTCCGAAGATATCGACGCTGCCCGAGCCTTCACCAGGTACACTACGGACTGGAACATTCCTTAACAACAACACATCAAGTTTAGCAGCAGGGACACAACAAAACCCCTATCACAACATTGTTCAGAACAAAGGTAACAGGATACACGACTGCGACTGCAGCCTGCGAGACAAGAGAGGCCATGCGCAGAACAGAAGGGAGGGGAGCGTACGTAGAGCAGGAGGGAGTGTACTGAAAGGAGGAGGGAAGTACTCACAGCAGAAGTGAGCGTGCTCAGAACAGAAGAGACCGCACTTAGGGAGGAAGAGGACGCGCTTGGAGCAGGAGTTAGTGTACTTAGAGCTGGAGGGACCGTGCTTGGGGCGGGAATAAACTACTCAGAGCAGGAGAGAGATACTCAGAGCAGGAGTGAGCGTACTCAAAGCAGGAGGGAGCGTACTCAGAGCAGGAGGGGGCGCATTCAGAGCAGGGGGAAGCGCACTCAGAGCAGGAGAGAGTTACTCAGAGTAGGAGAGAGATACTCAAAGCAGGAGTGAGCGTACTCAAAGCAGGAGGGAGCGCACTTAGAGCAGGATGAAAGCACTCAGAGCAGAAGGGAGCGCGCTCAGAGCAGAAGGGAGCATACTCTGAGCAGAAGTGAACGCACTTGGCTCAGGAGGTAGCGTACTCAGACATCCGGCACGGGGTACGTAGAACACGGCACACGGCGACAGCTGCGCGACAGGGCGTACCTTGTACATGGTGGCCGTGTGTTGGGTAGGTGGCGGCGGGCACGGTACGGTCACGATGCGAACCTACCACGCTGCGAGCACCGGTCGTGTTCCGCTACTGACACCGGCCGGCCGTCCTTATAAGTGGAGTCGTCCACGACGCTGCCGGCGCCGGCGCCGACGCAGGTGCAGGGGCGTCCGCCGGCGGGGTGACGACCGCGGACGTCACGGCGGGTGAACAGGGCAGTCCCACCGACCCCTAACTATCGCCGCTGACCAGGTCACGCTCAGGGTGCGCAGGTGACCCCTGGCTGCGTGACATGGCCGCGGGCGACAAGCCGTGCATCTGGGAGGGGAACAATGCAGATGTGAGATGATGAGATGATGAGAGCTTCTTACGCATGACCTGATGTTTTCGAGAGGAGACGCTTGCCATTTTGAGTGACGCGAGGGGGTGACGAACCGTCACGTGCGTGTGACGAGCCGTCGCAGCCGCCTTGGACTTCACAACTCGGCCACGATGGGGGAAGGGGAGGGGAGCGAGACTGGTTGTCACTTGGGGTGATTGCCATACCTCGGAACTAGATGTCAGAAAACCTCAGTATGCATGTCAAAAGAGCGCCTAATATACGCACCGCAATCCGGCATACTAATTGAGCTGTGGCGCATGGGAACGTTTTGATACAAGGACGTGTGGAACTTGATTTTGGGGGGAGATTTTACGGATGTTCCACTTTCAGATTAATCTGTCGGCTTGCCTTCGCATCTTGCTTTTAAAGTAGCCTGAACGTTTTGTCAGACTACTGAATGAAGTTTGCTTTGTGGTGATCTACAGGAATATCTGAAGGAGTGGTGTGCTTGAATCATTGGGCACGAGGTCGGAAGTAAAAAGTACCTTTTGGACATGTCACGACTCGTGCACAGGTCTGTTGTCCCTGTGTGTGACCTACAGTGCGTCCTGTGGCCATCATCAGTACTTTCAACGGCTTTTTACAAGTAGTCATATTTTATCATGCTATTGGTCATTGAGCAACTTCCTCTTTCAAGCAATGAAAATCATTTGACGGTTGTGCTTTTGCCATAATTTTGGTTGAAAATCAAAATTCAAAACCATTTTAATATCACGCTCAAATGGGATGCTGTGGAAAGGACTTGGACTTGGAATAAGGATTTGTAGCAACTTGTCATTGTACGCGGAATATTTTTACTCTTACTTCTTCCCTATACCCACCATAATATCAAAATAGCCAAAAATGTTACGGTGAGATTGATTTTACTAGATGCACGAACCATCACTTTAAACAAAACCAAAAACAACAAAGTATCACGAAAGAACGTGCGAAAAATCGTTAAATAAAACACGAATCAACTTGCCCAGTCTCCCGTATCACTGCGCCGGTGTCATGAAAACTGTCCTGCGCTCGCTTAGCTGTAGGGTGGTATCTTTGCAGTCATGGCTTGGGGTGCACAAAACCAGTTTCACTGAGGATCCAATGCCTTTTTATTATCATTAATCAACTTATGTGGATTCACCCATAGTCCTCAATACGTTTAACAGTTGCTGGATCGGAGAGCATCCATACCAGGGATGATCAACCCCATGCCGAGGTGTAACATATCAATACATGCGGCAGTGTCTACAGGATCTAGCCTGCACGACTTATCTTAAACGGGGTGTTCCACAGTTGTATCGGGTTTTGGACTGAAAGAGTCAGTTTAAAGATCATTCAGTGCAGTCTACAGCCCTGTCTTTCTTAAGACCTGAAGCCCTCCAGTTTCTGAGTTACACACTCTCGACGATGTCGCAGACCAGTCCGTGCAGACTCTTTTAAGGTTACCCGGTACATATGACGCCATAGTGACGGCATTCAGATTCCGCCATTCCGATGGTCACGCGGCGCTCAAGCCCAATAAAATATAATTGTCGAGTCAGTCATATCTGGTGTTCGAGAGCATGATTTCCAGATATACGGTCGTGAATTGGCTCTCAACTAATGTTGTGCAGGCTGTGCAAGATTCTAACACGATTTGGTTGTTTGCTTGCTTGGATTAGAGCCCTTTCGACCAGGAATGATCATTATAGGGCTGCGGGATGAAGAGAAATGGATAACGGTAGGACAGGATTGCACGCACCTGGGAAGCCAACCACCGAGCTTATACCTGCGCAGGGATCTCTCGGAGTGTGCGCTGGGCGCCTGGTCCGGGTCCTCTTCCCAGTGGTCCTCTCGGCCCGCTCGCGTTGCGCAGGGACCCCTCGGAGTGTGTGCTGGGCGCCCGATCGGGTCCCTTTCTCAGGAGGCCTTTCGGCCGGCTCGTGCTGTGCATGGGATCACTCGGAGTGTGCGCCGGGCGCCTGGTCGGAGCCCCTTTCTCAGGAGGCCTTTCGGCCCGCTCGTGCTGTGCATGGGATCACTCGGAGTGTGCGCCGGGCGCCCGGTCGGAGCCCCTTTCTCAGGAGGCCTTTCGGCCCGCTTGTGCTGTGCAGAGATCACTCGGAGTGTGCGCCGGGCGCCCGGTCGGAGCCCCTTTCTCAGGAGGCCTTTCGGCCCGCTCGTGCTATGCATGGGATCCCCCGGAGTGTGTGCCGGGCGCTCGGTGGTCCGGGTCCCCTTTCTCAGGAGGCCTTTCGGCCCGCTTGTGCCGCGCATGGGATCCCTCGGAGTGTGCGCCGGGCGCCCGGTCGGAGCCCCTTTCTCAGGAGGCTTTTCGGCCCGCTCGTGCTGTGCATGGGATCACTCGGAGTGTGCGCCGGGCGCCCGGTCGGAGCCCCTTTCTCAGGCCTTTCGGCCCGCTTGTGCTGTGCAGGGATCACTCGGAGTGTGCGCCGGGCGCCCGGTCGGAGCCCCTTTCTCAGGAGGCCTTCTGGCCCGCTCGTGCTGTGCAGGAATCCCTCGGAGCGTGCGCAGGGCGCCCGGTCGGGGTCTCTTTTTCAGGAGGCCTCTCGCCCCGCTCGTGCTGACGCATGCAGCCTGCAGCCTGGGCGTCGGGAAGATTCAGCATAAAGCAAGAAAAGAGGATGTGAGCGTCGGATGCCTAACATGAATTGCGTTTTGTGCTTCGTAATACAAGGAGTTGTGCATTCTTCTTAGTTTTTTACGGAAATAAGGCTTATAATCGAATAACTTGAGAATAGCGCTATAGCCATACATGTGAATGTAAGTTAATCATCTA